GAGGTGACTAGTTACTTTTTTTGAGAACTTTCAATAACCTATTATGGATATACCTCTTTTATATGGTGCACCTTTTCGGCCTCTCTCCCAAAATGAAGATGAGATGTTGCATTCCTATTTTCTTCAATCAAAGACAGATTTGGCAAACTTTGTATATGATGGGAATAAGAGTCCAAGTCATAATGGTTTTTATTTTTCTTTTTGGAAGACACTTTGTCATCTTATGAGAGACGATGAGGATCTTATTTTCCTAGTTTTGTATTCAAACTTATATTCCCTTGAGTTTTTTCTCTTCCTTCGTGACTTTGATTTCGAAAGTGGAGTCTCATTCCCATTTCAAGGAGTTCTGTCCTATTTCTCTAGTGAGGGATCTTTATAACCTGGTCACCAAAGGGTTGACTGCTAGATTGGCTAAGGTTATGGAGAAACTTATTTCTCAAAATCAACCAACCTTTTTCAAAGGGAGATTTATGGTTGATAGAGTTATGGTAGAGAATGAGTCGATGGACCTTAAAAAGTGACCGAAGAAAGATTTTCTTCTTTTCAAGGTGGATTTTGAAAAGTCTTATGACTCGGTGAGTTAGAGTTTTTTTGATTATATGTTGGATAGGTTTGGGTTTGATATGAAGTGGTGGATATAAATGCATGCTTGTATTTGTTCTTGCAATTGACATGTGTTATTGACTGGGTATCTGACTCAAGAGATCCATATTTATAGAAGGTTGAAATAAGGCGACCGACTTCCCCCTTTTATTTTCTTGTTGGTGGTAAATAGTCTAAAGTGGTTTGTTTTCTAGGGTAATGGAGTTGGAGTTGTACTAAGGGTTTATGGTTGGGACGTCTGACCCAGTGGTTTCTCATCTTCATTATGCATCTGATACCCTTATTCTTCTTAAAGCATAAATGGATAATATTTGGGTTATTAAATTTATTCTCCGAGGTTTTAAGCTAGCATCAAGCTCCATCTCAATTTTGCTAAGAGATATCTTATTGGTATCAATTCCTACTCTTCTTTTTGGATTTAGTAAAAGAGTTTCTCCATTGTAAGATTGAAAGTCTTCCTGTTAAATACATGGGGATCTCTATGGGTGTTAATCCCTACATGGAGTCTTCTTGGGAACCTCTCATAAGTCTTATATTTATAATGTTGATTAGTTGGCAGCATAAATATGTTAGCTTAGGAGTATTTATTCTTCTAATTTTGGTTCTTAACTCAATTATTATTTTCTATCTCTTTTCCCTTAAGATGTTAATTAAGGTTTGAGAGAAAGCTATGAATATTCAAAGGAAGTTCTTGTGGGGATGGGTGAAGGGGGTCTTGAGATTCCTTTGGTTAGTTAGTCCGATATTTGTAAACCCAATAAGTGTGACAGGTTACATGTTTCGAGATCTCCACTTGATTAACTTGACATTACTTGGTAAGTGGCGTTTGAGGCTTTTATCTCAATAAAATGGGTTATGAAGGAATATTATTTCTGCTAGGTATGAGTCTCACATGGCTTCTTCAATGAAGGAGGTAGGTTATCCAATTATCACTTTGCCTTATCTTGGTGGAAATTGATTTATACCTTAAGATATAAATTGGAGAGTCTACTGATTGGTTTGTTAAGGGACTTAAAAGAAGAATCGGGTTCGACAACCTTACATCGTTTTGGAATGACCATTGGGTATGGGCTATTCCCCTTAGATAGAGGTTTAAAAATACTTCATCTCATTGATGGTTATCAGGGTAGAAAAGTCAATGAGGTAGCAGTGTTAGAGGATGGTTTGTTTAAGTGCAATTTTTAATGGAGGAAACCTTTCTTAATTTGAAAGCTCGTGTTAGTTGATCTGTTTTTACAAGTCCTTTAAGAGGTAACTCTAATGTAAGAGAGTGATTGTTGATTCGTGGAAGGCTGTTATAAATGGGGGTCTACTTAGTAGCTTCGACATATAACTCCCTTATCGAGGAAAAACTTGGTTTGTTCCTTCCTTTAATTTTGAGCTCCATGGTCTACTTAGTTGAGCTCCATCCAAAGTGTTAATTTTCTCTTGGCAACTACTTCTTAATAAGTCTCCCTCTAAAGAGATTTTGTTAAGTCACGAGATTGTTTTGGATCTAATTGGGGTTTGTAGTTGTTTTTGTGGGATGTTCGTAGAGTCGAGTCAACTTCTCACTTGTGTGTCACTTGTGAGTTCGTCTTGCATCTATGATATAAAATCTTTAGGTTAAGAATATCAAGATGATTTGACAATATACATGATGCTAATTGGTTGAAAATATAATACCGCATATATTTTTTTCTCTATTAAATTTTTATTTATTTCATTATAAAAAAATACTTTAATTTATTTCAAAGAATATTCAAGTCTTGTGGGTCATAGCTGACGCATAACCCTATATATTTATGTTTTTCCTCTCAACTCAACTATTCTCAATCGTATCTCAATTTTGTTATTCGGTTGATTAGGGTTTTTGTTGTTTCCCCACAAGTCTCTCGCAACCAGGGTTTTTCTCCCAATGGGAAGATATCGTAGCCGTAGCAGAAGCTACAGCCCTCGCCGCCGTAGCAGAACCCCACCTCGCGGTCGCAAGCGTTATGACGATGATCGCCATCCTGACACCAGGTCTCGCAGAGACCGTCGTTCTCCTCTCCCTTCTGGCTTACTCGTCCGTAATCTCCCCCTTGATGCTAGGTTTGTATGTTTTCCTCTATTCAGTTTCCAATTTCATTTTATTTATCAAAAGTTTCCAATCATTAAGTTCCAACACTGTACCCTACCTTATGTATTGAAATCACTAGAATGGTAATGCTATCTTCAATTGGATAGGGAAAACAATTTTTTGTTGCCAATACCTCAATGGGATGGCATTGGTTTACGTTTTTTTTCTCCTTTGTTATGCTATGTTCCTTTATTTCAATCGAATTTTGAACTGAAAAGGATATGAGGAAACAAAGTTTACCTTTTGATTTATATGATGCAGACCTGAAGATCTTAGGGGGCCATTTGAACGCTATGGTCCTGTGAAGGATGTTTACCTTCCTAGAAATTATTACACTGGGTATGTATGTTTTAAGTTTTGTTGCTTTCAATAAGATAGTATGGAATTGTGGGAAATTGATAGGGACTTGTGGACTTGGTGTTAAAGTCCCACATCAGTGTATGCTTCGGTGAAGCATTAGGTTTAGGTTGGAACCCTCTCTTGAAAGCTACTTAAATACTTCACTGAGCATTACATGCTTCTCAATGTGAGACTTAGCACTGCCTAATGCCTAAGTCGTTATCGGTATTGTGACTAGAGCCTTTGTTTTAGGTTGTGATTTGGTTGATTTCATAGTGGTTTTTTTTGAATTGCTTTTGTAGTGAACCTCGTGGTTTTGGATTTGTGAAATATCGATATGGTGAAGATGCAGCAGAGGCAAAGCAGCATCTGAATCACAGTGTCATTGGTGGACGTGAAATAAGAATTGTGTTTGCTGAGGAAAATAGAAAAACCCCTCAAGAAATGCGTGTCACTTCTCATGGAAGGTGTGATTACAGTTATATGTGTTAGTAAATTTTTAATTTTGCACTTATGGGATTTCCCATTTCATTCTTATCAATTTTTTTTTAAATTTATTTTTATTTCTTTATTTTTTTATTTTATTAATAGTAGCCGAAATGGAGGTGGTAGCAGAAGGAGAGCTCGGTCAAGATCTCCACGGCGTCGTTATCGATGTCAGTGTACATATTCACCTCAGCTTCAAAATTGTACTTTAAATACGTTAACATTGTACTTATGCTTTATTTGGAAGCCAATCCATTTATTCATGTTGTTATATCTGCATTTTTGCAGCCTACTCTAGGTCTCCATCACCTGCCAGGGGCACTTCAAGGTTTGATTTTTACGCTTTAATGATTTATTTTTCCTTGTGCATATTAGAATATTTTGTTAAACATATTATGAAATTTATTTATTATTTGTTAATGTTATACATAATGTTTTAGGCAACTGGCTACATTTGATTGCATTTAGGTTCTGAAACATTATTTGTAATTGAAGTTTAGAAAGTAATTGCATTTCATAAGTTGGAAATGGGCTTATTTTAGCTGTAAAATGTCATGTGTAGAATACTTGGTAGTTAAGGATGTTTGATACTTGGTTGGAAATCATTATAAACAAAGTTGATCAGCAGAGCCACAGGCGGTGAAAGGAATTTCTCTCAGTTTTTTTTCTGTCATGTTATTTTGTTACTTTCGTATTAGTCCGTCCTCTGGTAAATTTCTCTATTAGAGCACTTGTTTGCTGTTAGGCTTGGTTAACTAAGATGACTGTTCATGCACTTCTGTTTGGACTATGTTTATTCTGGTGGGTGATTGAAGTGGAAAGAGCTGGTTCTTAAAATGAATATTATATGTGATATGTGATGGATGTACTATTCCTTTGCTCATCAAGAGTATAATTAGCAAGGTTTACTTCTAACAGTTAGAGTGTCTTCCAATCCTATGACCCTAACAAGACTCCTATAATATGTTTAAGTGAATTGAATGATATCTGCTTATGGTCTTCTTTATGCAGATAATAATGTGAATTGAAGAGTTTAAAGATTGGTTAATAAAGATTAACGAGTAAAGTGGCTTAAAGTGATGTGGTACTTGCTTACGTATCTTTCAAAGTCCCTCCATAAGAAATATCCATACCAAACTTGCCTTATTCTGCCAGTTGTGCGGCTGGTATTTTGTTTGTTGCTTTCGATTGGTCCAAATAAGTACTTCTTTTGATTCCCTTACCGATTTTCTGTAAAGAAGATTCTGTTTAGTTTGATATATTGTTTTTCATATACTATCCAGTTTAAAAAGAATATAAAGCTTATAGTTGGCCAAAGAAAATCATGCTCAAAGAATGGAAGCCAAAGTATTTACGTGTAGAGATATGATGTGCAAGAAAGATAATTGTCATTTTTAAATAGTTGAGACAAAGAGAGCTATGAAGTTACCAGATGCTGATCTTGCAGTACATCATTCATAGCTGTCAATGTTTGGATCCAAGTGTCATGTAGTTGTCCAGAAACTTTGGAAAGGTACAGGTAAAGGTCACATTTTGGCTAATTAGATTCTTAAGAGGAAGTAAGTGTTAGTTCTCATAAGAAACAAAAAATGGTTTGGGTGACTGCCAATTATAAGTGTAATTTATTTTTACTTTAACAAAATGTTATCTTATGTTAGTTGAGGGAGTTGAACTCATAACCTATTTATGTGTTTAGTTTGTTGTAGTTGCATATATTCTGATCTTGATTTATTGGATGTATGTGGTCGGTGTTCTCTATATACCTATGTTATGCGTAGGTATGCATTTTATTGATTTAGCCTTTTCATTATCTTGATTGTATGACTAAGTTGTCTAGCTGTTATGTCGATTTAGGGATGACAGAGGTAGGGATGATTATTCTCCAGGGCGATCACGATCTTATTCTAGGTCTGTTTCTCCCGATGGTCGGAAGGAAGACAAAAGGTCCCCTCGTGCCTCCCCTGGTGGTAGGAAGGATGGTAGGAGGTCTTCTCGGGCCTCTCCGTATGGTGGGAAGGATGACAGGAGGTCACCTCGCGCCTCTCCCGGTGTTGGAAAGGATGACAGGAGGTCCCCTCGTGCCTCTCCAGGTGGTGGGAAGGACGACAGGATGTCCCCTCATGCCAGGGAGAATGGTCGAAGTCCAAATGTTAAGAAAGATCAGGCACCTAACAGATCTGAGAGCCCCAGGGACAAAGATCACAGTCCTTCAAGGTCTCGCTCTCGGTCATACAGGTATGAAGTTTCGGATCTTTTTAATCGTATTGTATCATTGTACCCAAGTTATTTCTATTCTAATATGATCCCTAATGTGCCTGCATAATTAAGGACTTTTCAATGGCATTTTAATTTTACAGCCATGAACATTTCAGTGGTGTGCATGACCCTGCGTTGTTTAATTGAGTTTCAAAAAATTGTTTTTAAAAACTGGCATTGTTATTTATATTTCTAGGGCTGAATACTCTGTTCTAATTGTTTGCTAACTTCTAGTCTTACTTTATTCCTAATCACGTCTTCTGTCAGTCTTGTTGTAAATTGTTCCATTAGTATATTTTCTACACAAGTGACGATATAGTGAAGCTGATGGTTGAAATTTTATTATTGCATTGAGCACAATCTGCATGTTTCACCATATCTCTGACATTGAAAGGGATTTGCATTTTCAACTTAGTATTGAATTGAAATTAGATAATCGGTGGTTGATTATTTCTTTTATCTTTATGCAGTCCACGCTGATTTTCCACCAAGCATGTGAAGTACTGGAGATAAAGTTCGTCGGTTTGAAAGACACTGATGCATCTGTTATGTTTATTTTAGACTGTTGAAAACAATTCCAATGGATAATAGTTTTTGACTTGGTCTGCTATTTTAGTAGATACTGTTGAATACTGGTTTTTTGTTAATGAAGTTGGAACTTGTTTTTTTAGTAGCTATCTTTATCCTTGGAGTTTGGAGTGCACCCATTTTTTAGTTTCACTTTTTATTCTATAGCAGATTCCCTACTATGGATAATTAGCTAGGGTTGATGTTTTAATAATTTTTTGCAGTATTCCCTAAAACATAGTTTTCACTTGCAACTAACTAGCCACCAAGGTTTGTTTCTCGGATTTGGGTTGTCTGATTTTATTGCGCCAACTTCACCTTGACTTTCAGCTGTTCTAAAGCATTAGATCAATCTTACACTTTACACGCTGCCACGTGTCATAAGTTTTCCAAAAGAAAGCAAAACAAAACAAAAAATGCTTTCATCGTCGCTACTGCATAGCCTTGTCATTTTAATTGCCAATTCAACCACACGTCATCTTCAACACCACCTTCATTTCTCTAAATTTTATCATCATGATTGTTTTACTTAAATCTTTTTTCTTTTAACAATTCTAGATTTAATATCTTTTTTAAGTTCTGTATTATAATTTTGAAGTCTATTTTTCTCTTTTAATTTTAAAAAGGTTTATGTTGATTTTTTAATTCTTCAAAATGTTCTATATTAGAAGAAAAAAAATACTAATATGAAACGTTTTCAAAATTAAGAGATCAATATAAATTATTTTTAAATTAATAGATTAAAATTAACCCGAGATTAGAATAAAATAAAAAAGATGTTAAACCTTAATTTTATAATGTGGTGGTGCCTTTGGAATGTTTCTTTTTCTGATCAATTCATTCATCTTAAAGTTGTTTGAAAATGGGTACTGCCTTGGTTCTTGACATTTGTGTATGGTAGTCACATTATATGAAGCGTAATGCTTTGCGGGAGGTATCTGAAAGAGTTGGCTGAGGATGTTCATGGTTTTTGGGTGTGTATTTTAAAACAATCCGTGCTCATGAGAAATTTGGTGGGATTGGTTCTCCCCCGTACCAAAGTATTAATGTTCTTTTCTTGATAAGGTTCAAGCTTGTAATTTGATTGACATTGAATTTTAAGGTAATCATTTCACTTGGCATTATTGTTAGGAATGGCAATTTGACTCATCTTTAATGGGTATTTACAAACTTATCTACAACAGGTATAATAAAAATAAGAATTTTTTATCCCACCCCTTGGCCTTCTTAGGCATAATGGACGCTCTGCCTAAAATAATTCTCTGATTTCAAAGAAGTATTTCTAGATGCATTTTTTTCCAACTTTTTTTTAATTAATTTCGTAGATATATCTACGGAATACTTCTGTATGCGTATTTACAGAAGAAAATCAGAAACAGAATAGCAGAAAATCAACATTGCAATGATAAAATCAACATTCATAAAATAAAATCGGTGTTACATTGATAATTTCGACAAGAATTTAAATACTACATTTCAATAGTCCAGTGGACGCTTGCACATCTCTAAGATGTCATCGACCGTTCTTCAGACCGTCGCCTCCAACTCGAGTGAAATTTTCTATTCGAAACTGAACTACGTTCGCCACATCAACCTTAACATCGTCTTGATTCTTGAGCTTAAACTTGTTGTAAACAACGTTCCCTTCGTTGTCAACTGAAGGTGAACGATACTCAAGCTTCACAACCTCTCGTTTGTCATTGTAAGGTAGGCGATCTCGTATATGATATCGGCGAGTGGGGTGAGATCCATGAGCTTGAACGTCCTCTCGGGTGTTTTGCCGTTGAAAAAGGAAACATTTGCGACATACCAACATATCTTGATTTCACACAATTAATACATTTTTGTATTTGTGTGAAATATAACAAATGAAATTCCAAATTTATAGAAAACCTTGGTGAATATAGACCAATCATTTTCTGTCAAATTTTTTTTCGGAGCTATATCCACTGAACGACCCCATAATTATTGGCTCCGGAGTGTATATTCGGAACTTTCCCTGAATTCAAAATGAATCAAAACAAGTGTCGCTGACTAAATCTATTGGTGGTACCTCTTTTGATTTTTCCGCATTCGATTCCTTTTTAATGTTGTTCAATCTTTCGAATTCGTGCATCCTTTCAACAAAACGATCTGGCCACGTCTCGACATTTGCGGTTGAATGAGTCGTCCATTCCGGTGATGTAGGTAGTATGGGGCATCCCGGTTTTAAGTAAACTTGTATAAAATGTCTTGATTTTGCAAGCCATCCAATACACATGATGCGATCATTTGGATTTTGAGGTGGTGCAGTGCGGAGTGGAAAAAAGTTTCCGAAAACCCGTATCGCGTCAAGTCAATGCACATTCTATCATATGCACATGCAATAAGATGACCCATATCATGGAAGGTCATCCATTTCGACACTGGTGTCGGACCACTCAAGCAAGGAACAAGAGATTCATAAACCGCATCAAAATTTTCTTTCTTTCCATACAACCGCATGTACGATTCTTTATGCGTCTTCAACTCTTGGATTAGTTAATGGAAAACAAGCGCATGACTATCCTCTCCTTTACCAAGCAAAGTCGAAACGACTCGGTAACCATAATTACCATGCCCTTCAACAGTGACGATACATTCGATGTATTTGTGTATAAAAACCGACATCTCGTCGATGAATGAAATTTTTGGTAGAATCGGGGTCGGAGGCGGTTTGCTTATGCGGCCTCTTTTCATGACACTTTTTTGAGATTTAGGAGTCAGTGAGTCAGGATAAAGTTTGTCAACGTGCTCACAATAAGGAGACCGTGTAGTTGAGTTGTCATTCGGTGTAGGCTTCATTTTCTTCGAAACACCTTTTGTCATTGGCCTTTGAGAATCTCTCTTGTGGAGTTTCATGTTGTCATCGGCCTTTGAGAACCTCTCTTGTATCGCTTCTCATTCGGTCAAAATAGAGATATTCGGTTTACCTTCTTCCATGCAACCATCATCATCAAAACTAAGTCTTTTCCAATGAGGGCAAACTTCTTCCATTCTTATTGGCTCACCTAGTTTCAACTTTTTAGCAATAACACAAGCACACGGAAGACCATAAGTTTTCACAATAGTTCAACCACACTTTGTGCTATGGAAACCTACAGTTTCAGCTTGTTTGGCCTCGTGAAAAATATAGTTCAACCCCGGTCGAGACATATTGCCGATCAATTGAGAATAAAGAATTTTGTCTTTAAATCGATGTTCTAATACCATTATACTCCGACCAAATGTTGTTTGTATCTCATTATGTTGGTTTTAAATCATGAGATTTACGAAGTTCTAATCTTGACACAAATCCCCCTTTCTATTACCCAACCAATTTTTCAAACTAGCATGGGCCGACTCAACTCTATTGGTGGTTGTATTTCCAAGGTGTCGAACATTATCAGTTCACGCACAGACTATCTTCTCCTTCACCTGATCAAAAATAGTGCTTTCAACGTGTTTAAATAAAACAAGATACTTTTCACACACTTTCTAGAATTGAATGACAGAATCGACATATAATTCTTTTGTGGAAGAATTTAGTATACGATTCCATGCATCCATTATTTGTTCAACAATCACACCGACCTTCACCAATTTTTCACCTTCGGACTCTACTTGTTTCGTATCCACCACAGGTTTAACCCGACTTCTCACATTCTTTGTTATGTGATATCGACAAAGTAATGCATTAGAAGAAGGAAATACCTTTGCAACCATATTCGTTAACGCGATATCGCGGTCAGTAACAATCGCTTTAGGCATATCAACTTGGTCCTTCAAAAGTGACCGACACACCTCTAATGCCCATGTAAAATCGTCCTTTTTTTCACACTCCAGAAAAGAAAAACCAACGGCATATGTCTTTTCGGTAGACGTAACACCAACCATCTCAAATAAAGGAAGTCTATACTTATTGGTCTTGTAGGTAGAATCAAGAATGAGCATTGTTGATAACATATTGAACAACTTTATCGAATCCGGATGAGTCCAAAAAATATCTCAGACCATAACTCCATCGTCGCAAGTTTTGTATCGGGACACGTAACTGTTATCATCCAACAATTTCAACAGTTGTTGCATCTCACTTCTATCTCCCCTATCGCCTTGTTGGTGCGGTACTAAATGTTATACACTTGCCTTATATTTGATATATTGTCAGGTTCCTTCCGTTTTAATGTGGAAAGTATATTTTTTGGTTGGACAAGATTCAAGGTTATGTCACTAATACATGTCTTCTCTTCCGGCTTGAGCCGACATACACTAGGATGTCCTTGTAACTTTAAGCATAATTCATGGTTATGCAAACCACAAATAACACTAAATTTGCACCTTTTGGTCCTCAACATGTAACCATAAATCTTAAAAGGGCATTCACATTTTCTACTACCGGTGTCGTCTCTTTTAAACTTCCGTAGAGGAGTCTGATATTTCTCGCTTCTTTCGCACAACAAAGTTACAAAAGTGTTTCTTCTTTCTGAACCAATATCAGATCTTCCTATAACCACACCAAAACCAAGTCTAGTTGCCGACCTACGAATCCATGTGAGCATTCTATCACGATCATCAAACTCTTGCTTGTTATTAAAGTCAACGGCGACATCTACCAACTTTACGACAACCCTTTGAACATTCAGAGAAACATCATTTGTAGAAACTAGTTCTTTTGAGATATTATCGGGGCAAACCATATCTATTTTTAAACAATAAGAAAAATAAACAAAAATTATAAATCTGCTGTAAAAAAAAGGTCACAGTCACGTTACAGAGATGTACATCCGGAAGTGTTCATCTTCAACATGTTCCGGAGGTACAGCTCCGGAAGCAACGTTACTTTTTTTCCAAAAGTTTGATGACTAATGTGAGCAATATAGTGGGGAAAATGCAATATTTACCTGAAATTCGATCTT